GTCCCCTTTGACTAGATTAAGCTCTGCTCCCCTTAGATTTCCAAACATGGTCATTTGGTTGAATTGTATGCAGTAAGCTGCTGCCACATGCTGGTAAATCTGACATTGATGTAGTACAGTGCCATAAACCAACCTGTCCACCTGATTTACTATTCATTACTGGTTAAATTGACAACCTGCCTGGCTTTCTGTCTGTGTTAAAAGGCAAGACAAGGCACAGATGGTATAAGCATAAGAAAATGCAAAATGAGTGAGTACTAAGAAAACCAGCTAAGAGCCTAAGATGCAGCCTGTTCTGATGCATAAGATTTGTACCTCTCCTTCTGTGAAAAGTGGCTTGGCAGCATCATCACAGGTGTTGCTAAGCTCCAAGGTACAGGTGTGAAGTGCTGAACTGTTTTATAAATAAGTCTGAAATGTGCCATGGTGATGTGGTTAGGCTGGTGCTTTGCCAATGCCAGTCTCTGAGGACAGAGGTTCAGGTGGTCACTACCCATGACATGTGCCCTGAGACTTTGGGAAATGATGGCCAAGGTGAATGCCCAACAAGCTGCAGCTGCCAGGTTACTGCTTTATCTTTCAAGTCGGATTTGGCAACATCCAGTTTTTACCTCAGAAAATAGCAATCTGCATATTAGTGAGATAAGATTAATTAATAATGAAATGTTAATGCATGCAAATAGGTCCTCTCCACTCATGAACAGATTCTCATCCAACTATTAAACCTTAAGTGAAAAATCAGACATTTTTTCTCAACAGGAAAGTTTTATTTTTTTCACTGTCACTATATTTTCCTAAACTTTCCCTCCATCGCTCATGTTGTTCAGAGACTGTGAAAATTTCACCCACTATTTAATCCCTGGTATTTACTTCCTTATTTAGTCAACCCCATTATCTTGTCTCCTTTAGGAATTCATTTAAATTTAAGATACCTTTATTTGTAATCATTATATCCAATGTTCCATTCAAACTTACTTATTGAGAAACATCACAGTCTGCCTGTATTGGAAAGTTGAGGATACACAGGTATGCACAGAAAAGCCATCCTGAAACCCTGTAGGAGTTATTGAAACAGAGATAAGAATATAGCCACATGGACAAAAAAATTATGAAATTGTAAGGGCCCATGAAAGAATTTTCAAAAATATTGTCTATGATCTACATATGACACACAAAATATTCCAGTAATGTTCAATGTTCAGAATGTTCACAATTTTTTTAATTGTGGTCTTGTTTTATTATTATACTCCAATATGGCTCTCCAAGGTATTCTGTTATGGTCTCTGTGTTAATCTACAATGAACAACATTGTGAAAATCAGGAAATCACTGCCTTCCAATAAAAACAACATTATAATAAGCTGTTCTGTACAAGACATTTAGCAGCGTATGTTAGTTACGAATTCTTTTGCAATGTTATAATGATTTATATATTGGTGATTTTGAAGCATCCAGCACATTTCAGATTTTGGAAAGTTCTTCCAATAATGCAGTCTGTGAAATAAATCAGGCGTGGGTAGTCCATGCCTGTCAATTCCATCAGATTTGATCTTCTTCTAGCTCCTGCCCAACATTTTCATTTAAATGTTCACCTCTGCACTTTATCCTCTGATCCCCAGATGCACACCTTTTTGCATTCTAGCATGGGATGTGTGCATCTATGTCAAGTCCAGCATCTGTTGCTCATCTCTGACTGCTCTTGAATTAATTGGTTCGCAAGGCCATTTTGAAGGCAGTTAAGTGTCAAGCACATTGCTGTTGGTCTGGAGTCACATATAGGAAAGTGTGGCAAATTTGCTTCCCCAATGGACATTACTGAACTAGATGGGGCTTTATGATGATTCACAATTTCTATATGGTCTTCATTAGGCTAACTTTGAATTTCAAATTTCATTGAATTGAAATTTCACCAGCTGCTGTGGTAGGATTCAAATCCATTTCCATAGAACATTAGCCTAAAACTCTGTATTACTGGTCTAGTGTTATTACCACTAAACCACTATCCCCATTGTTGTGCTAGATGTCATTAGGCTGTGTCCCCCCTTGAATCTAGGTGGTGGTGACCATAAATAGCCCCTCTTCCACTATACCCCATGTCCTCCCATGTTCTCTTGCCTCTAACCATTATGTGTTGAGTTTCTACGTACTCACAATTATTATCCCCTCTACGTTCTAGTATGCTGTCTTGAATTCTCATAAGCGACTTCACTAATCTTCCCAAAAGAGTGATGCCCTGATAACCTCCATTTATTTTCGGTAAGCTTGTCCTTCTATATCATTCTAGATGACTACTTCAGGTTCTCACCTTGCCACAGTCCAAGATTCTGTCCATGCTATGTGATCATTTCCTGGTCCATAAGTCATTCCCAAATTATGAAATCATTACGAAAATTTGCACTGCATTTTCTTGCTTTCCAATGTTTCACCATTTTGGCAGTCTTCTAGATCACACTTTTGTCCATCATTTTTGGCAATTTAGTCAATATTTGAACTTGTCAGTAGATCTCTGCTTCTCTGCTTCACCTACAATAGTCACATCCCTCCACTGAATGAACCTTTCAATAGACATCATTCCATGAGTTCCCACTCTAGTCTGTTCTCCTATAGATATGATGGTCCCGTTCTATTCATCAGTACCATTCAACACATCGCAAATTAGTCCCTGATCTACAGTGTTCTGTTCCTCAACCCTGTTGAGCATACAAGCATGTGAGCTATAGAGTGCCTTCTCGCCTTCTGTTAATTTCTCAGATTTAGGAATGATGTAAGGTAACTGCTGGAAGCTGCAATGACCTTGGATCCAGGCACATAGGCTGCTGTATTTATGCAGTCGCTGTACTAAGATTGTACACAAGAATGAGGGAGGAATATACCTATCTGGAAGCCCTGGACCAGCATCAACCTCCAGCAGATGCGTAGCAGTCTCCTGCTCGTTTGCAGTTTGCAGCCCTCATGGCAAAGATGCAAGAGACCCACAGTCACTCGGTTTGCATGAAATGCTGTGCATAAGTGAGAGGGGTAGTGGCACCACTATTTAGAGGAGACAGTCAGAGCACCATGCCATAATGTCTAGCATATCTACAATGCAACATCTTCTTCAACTGGGACTAACAACGGCAATAAGATGTCTCCTCCACATTAGGTATGTAGGTCATGTCTGGCTGTTTGTTGCAGAAAGTACAAACAGAGGTTGCTGGTTAATCCTTGGTGACTTTTTCTTTCCTTTATTCATTAATGAGATGAGGACATCAGTAGCTAGGCAGCATTTATTGTGCATCCCTAATTGCCTGGTTGCAGGGGAAATTGCCGTGGGGCTGTGGGGGTGTGGGGGGGTGGGGGGGGGGGGGGGGGGGAGGGGGGGTGGTGGCGTTGGGGGTGAAGGAAGTGTGGACCAGGGGTGTCCTGGAGGGAACAGTCCCTGTGGAGGCAGACAAGGGAGGGGTGGGGAATGTGTGTCTGGTGGTGGTATCTCGCTGGAGGTGGCAGAAATGCGGTCTGAAGACCTAAGGCACCTTCCCCTGCAACCTGCAAAGGGGCAACACCTGCCCATTTACCTCCTCCCTCCCCAGTATCCAAGGGCCCAAACATACCTTCCAGGTGAAGCAACATTTCATCTGCACTTCCCAGAATCTACTCTACTGCATTCGCTGCTCACAATGTGGTCTCCTCTACATTGGGGAAAGGAAGCGTAGACTGGGTGGCCGCTTCGTAGAACATCTATGTTCTGCTTGCAAAAAGACCCTGAGCTACCTGTTGCCTGCCACTTTAACACACCACCCTGTTCCCTGGCCAACATCTCTGTCTCTGGCTTGTTGCAGTGTTCCAGTGAAGCTCAACATAAGTTGGAAGAACAACACCTCATTTTCTGCTTGGGGACCCTGCAGCCCTCCGGACTCAATATTGAATTCAATAATTTTAGGGCTTAAAGTCTCCTATGTTCCAGCCCCCTACCCCACACACCAGGCCTTGTTATCACATCACCTGCCATTACACACTACCTATTGTCAGTCACTAACAGTCCCCATTAACAGCAACTCACCCTCCCAGCCAGATCATTACCAATTCCTTTGTCTATCCAAATGCTCTTCTCTCTCTTTGGGCTCTATTGTTTATCCTATCGTTTACTCCCTACCCCATCCCCATCCCTATTTTCAGTATATAAATCAACGTTTTCCCAGCTACCATCAGTTCTGAGGAAAGGTCACCGGATCTGATACGTTAACTCAGATTTTTTTCGTCACAGATGCTGCCACACCTGCTAAAGCAGAGGGTTTGAGAGGGGGTCTGTTTGAAGTTTACAGGATTATGAGGGATATGGGCAAGGTGGATTGGAAGCAGCTGAGTTGAAGGGTCAATATCAAGGGAGCGTAATTTTAAGGTCAGTGACATGAGGTTTAGAGGGAATGTGAGGGAAATGTTTTTCACCCAGAGGGTGATGGAAATCTGGAATGCACTGCCTGGAAGGGCAGTAAAGGTGGGAATACTCGCAAAAATACATCAATGAGCTCTTTTGATGTCAGTGTTCAAGGCTAATTGGCCATGTGCTGGAAAGTGGGATTCATGTGGTTAGGTCAGCACAGTATCTTCTGTGCTGTAAGGCTTTATGATGCTGACGACAATTGCTCACAGGACTGATGATGAAAAATAAAAATCCCACTGGATCCAATCAATATATATAGGAAACTCTACAATTTTGTGGATGTTCCTTGATACATTGATTTCATAGTTTCATTTGCTGCTCTGTTTTCCTGTTCATCAATATTGTTGTCCATTTATTTTTCCCAAGTTCATTGTTACCCCCTCAAAATTAATTTTTACTCTATTTATGTCTCCACAGTTATTAACCCAAACTGTATGACATGATGGTCACTATTACTATACAAGTTCTTTCTTTGATTTTGATTGTTAATGCAATTTCCATTTTGTTTTTGCATTTGCAGTTGCATGGATTGGAATTTGACATTCATTATTCAGAAAAAACATTAAGCAAAGGACATGAGCTGTATTATTTGATTTTTTTGAAGGGAATCAACTTTTGCAAAGTGTGGAGGCAGACAGTTTTTCACATTCTGTTTTTTTGTCATATTTGCAATATGTCCTGGAGACTCAATCTTACCTGTTAGAAAGTTAGAAGAGTAACAGTGTTTCCTTTGCAAAGTACTACAAAATTGAAGTATCTAACAAAGGAGATAAGGCTGTTTGCCAATTGGTCACACCCTTTTGCTGTGGGTGTGAATTACCAGCCAGTTTTATTTTCAAGCTAGCAGTCACTTTTAAACTCAAGCAGTAGATCTCAAAGTTTGCTCAGATAAAGAAAAACTGCAAGATGCCTGTGTCATACTCTACCAGCATGCGTTTTAAATTTCCTATACTGGCAATTGCACTAGAAGTTGTGATCATTATTTTATACGGAGTTTTTATTACCTATGATGATGGAGCTAATTCTAGACTTGTACATAACAACACTGACGAACTAGAACGTTTCTACAAAATCTATCCAAGTGAGTATATCTGAAGTATACATGCAATAATCTAAGTTTATATTGCTACTTACTTTTGTGTGATGCATATATAAAAATCCATGTGTTATTCTTTTCCAATAATGTGTTGGTTTAACCTTAAAAACCTGAAGTATTGTATTTGCTTTTCTAGGAAATATAGTTTTTAATTGTAATTTGTACAAGCACTTATATATTTTCTGTAAAAAAATCCTTTGAGTAAAACAAAAGTTATTTTCCGTGGCAATAGATGAAAACGATAGAAAGAGGGTTACAAAAAAAGTATAATATAGGATTGTTTGCTTCAGAATTATTTAAAATCTTCCCTGCTGTAATACATAGATAAGCTTGTTTATTAATCTGAATTTACTGGAATATTTAAGTGTTTTACTTTTCATATTTATATGGGGACACACATAAGAAATTAAAATACAAAAGTTTAGATAAAATTGTTGTATAGTGGACCTAATGTGGTTTTATAGCCTGTGTTCTAACAGCATTGTTCTTCATAAACAAAACAGAAATTGTTGAGGAAACTCAGTAGTCTGGGCGCATCTGTGGAGAGAAAGTGGACTTAATTTTTTGGGTCCAGTAACCCTTCTTTAGATCTGGAGAAGTTTCTGTTTTCGTTTCTGATTTCCAGCATCTGCAGTTCTTTGGTTTTGTTTTGCATTGTTCTTCATAGAATTGAAGTTTATGGAGCATTTGGACATTGCAGAGTTTGATATTTTCTTTTTCTTACTTTTTTTTTCTAATTTTTAGAACATACTGGTTTATTTCCTTGGTCTCTTCCTTAAAGTGTAACTTAATATTCATCAAAATGTGAGTTATGTTTGATTTGCAAATGTGTGTAAAAGGTGTAGTTGTGTAAAATATTTAAGTTATTTATTGGAGCATCTAATAATTCAAGAAAGTATGTTTCCACAAGTATAATCCAAATCCTGACTAAATTTTGGAAGGTACGCTTTTTTAAGTCATTTGCAAATTCATGGTAAATTCCAGAAATACTGTTCTTAAAAGCTGGAGATTAAAAACTAAAAATGCTGAACTCTGCAATTAAAAATAGAAATCATTGAGAAAGCCAAACATCTGCCAGCATCTAAAAATTTAGATATGACTTAAACATGTTCCCATTTCTGACCTTGATGAACCATTATGCAGTTCTAGTTTTCACCTTTGCATTTTTTTGTGTAAATGCATATACAAGTTTTAAAAAATGAGAGATTAGCCTAAAACTACTAATTTAATGAAGAAACTATTTTCTGCAAGGTCATTCTTTTCGTGTAAGTAATCCAATTATGCTTCTAGTTTGGATGCTTTTCACTGATGTTGCACAATTCTATGCTCATTATTTTGAATGGAATAAAAATTGAGCAAGCTGTACAGCAGGCGAATGAACTATAAGTTACTACGCAGCCAGTGAAATTACAAATTAACCCCACTATCTTTATCTGTGCTGTTTTGTGCATGCATATGTCTTCATTTTTGTTTGTAAAATATGATAAGATGTGGCAAAAATATGAGATAAGCAGGACAATATTTAAATAAACTATGAGTTAAAGCCCACACCATTTATCCACCATTCACTCCAAGGCTCCCTGAACGTTATATCATTGAAATGTTTCTGATATTCTATAACTTGTAATGAATAAAGTTGATGCTTGTGAGAAAATTTTCTTTATTGTCTTTGTTTTAGAAATCTAAAACCAACAGCATTTCATATGACTTAAGTTGGTTCTGCGTGATTTAATGCCAATTACTTTGTATTTGAATTCATTGCGTGTCATGTGAAAAAATAATGCTCTGCATATCGTATACATTAATAGAGGACAGAACAAAAAAAGGAGCACAAAGGAAGGCAAAACAGCATATTTCAACTACTTTCTCAGTGCAATAATATTAGCATGGCAAGTTTACAGAAACTGGTAGAATTCATCAAAATCTTTAGATTTTTCTTTATTCTTTCATGCCAAGATGTAGATGATCTAAAGAGAATGGATCTGACACATGCAGTGTGACCTTGGATCTGACTGCTGGCTTGCAAGAAAATCATTGTTGCAACTTTTACATTAATGCAACCAAAGTTCCGGAGCTGATGGCAATTCTCAATTTTAGCAAGGTTCATCTTCCATCCCCTAAGTTACTGCCTAATAAACAAATCTTAAACACCTACTCATATTGCAGATGTTTCACCGCAAACAAAACAGGCCTTCAATAAACAACTTCTGATGGAACATATCTAAAGTTTGAACTTGCCCTTCTGTCATTCCTGAACCTATTCCACATTTCTAGCAACTTCTACATTCATTCATGAAGCCTCAGGAAATGGGAGTTGTTTCCTCAATTTAGAATTCTTGTGTCTGGTGACAGTCTGTAAAATACTGATCAGAGTTGACTCTCTCCAGGTTAAAGGAATTCCACTGTACTGTGTAAAAAGGCATTTGAAGGTATTTGAGTTTGAACGTAATGAGTAGCCTCAATTGACAATTGCCATAAGATCCAGCACTTTGACTGCATGAATGTAAAAATTACAACAATGATTTTCCTTTTGTTTAGCAGTGCGATTGTTAGTCACAATGCATGTGTCATGTACATCCATTTTGGATCATCTGTGTTTAAGGTGAAATAATTGAAGGACAGGACAAAGGATTTTGCTGAACTGAACTATATCCTATATTCTAAGTTTATTAACATTATTAAGCTAAGAAAATAATTTAATGTTATGTTTTCCTTTGTTCTACACTACCGTAACATATGGCATATTCAGGCTGGCCTTTAAATATCAACGTAGAGCTGTGCAAACTCCAGGTTAGAAATTGAACTTAGATTGATACTTTCCAACCAAAACACCTTTTGCATACTGGATTTCTTCAAACTACCACATTCCAAACAGGAGCATGCCATTTATTTCCTCAAACCTATTACACTATTAAATGAAATCATGACCAATCTGATAGCAATATAC